CTGTCCAGCAATCCTGGGGAGGAACTAATGGAAAACAAAGCTGTGCTGGTTTCTCTTCAGCACAGGGTTTAAAATATTTATGTACAAAACCAGGGTTTGACAACTCAATTTATTGCAATTTAGCTTCATAAAAAATTTTCAGTAATGAGCTTAGCTTTAAATTGATTCATATGATCCTGACGTGTACTTGATACTTGTTTTTTTTAATGCTGTAAATCATTGGGAATGAGGCCTTGTTGTGAGATAAGGTCCTTTCACCAGCACAATGGAATCGTGGTCCCTAACACAGCTGAATAGCAGTTTTCATCTAGGTAGGTGTGGGGTTGGATTCTTAAGCCATGTAAGCTGACATAACTTCATTGAATTCAAAAGTTATACTAAAGGCTCAACTCTTTCGTTAGGGAACCTGAGTTTAGTCCTCAGTTAAAGGAAGGCACAGGCTCGCAAAGTGGGACCATAAACAGTCAATTGGATAACATGTACATGTAGTGCTGACCAGGGTGGGTATTTTGGATGGTGATGCTCAGGAAACAAGCGTTAGTCACTGGATGTCAATCTGTAGCTCCACTGGGATCCCCACCCTGTCTGCTGGCCTGTGCTGGGCTCAGGGCATGTGGCCAGGAAAACGTAAATCAGGACCTCCTCCTAGGAGCTGACCAGTTTCTGATCCTGATTTTATATTAGTACGCGCCAGCCTGCAATAGGCAAGATACAGTTGGAAAGCTGTGCTCTACAGCACTGTTAAGTGGCAAGTCCAGGCACAGATTTTCAAAATAAGGATGGACAATAAGGAAATTGGACAAATGGAAATCTCAGGCTGAGTCCAATATATCCATGATTCAAGGGGGAAACACATGACTGGCTCCTCTGGTACCCTAATTGTAGCATGAACAAAAACTTGTCACAGTTTTTGCTCATTTGGCTTTCAGATGTGTGCATATGACTTGCATCCTGAGGACAAAAAGAAGGGTTGGTTTTTTTTCTGGGAATCATCAGGATTACAATTTCAGTGCATGGGCTGTTGCTACTGACTGTGATTCATACCAGCATGTTTGTGACTTTTCATGTCTCTTCTATGTAAGAGGACTCTTCCCCCCC